AAAGCAAGCGAGGAAAATTAAAAGGGATAGCAAAGTGAGCGAATGGACGGCGTGGCACGGTTAATACAGCACGGTGGAAAAATTAAAATAACGACTTGATTTATTGCCGAAGTTCTCACGGTCGACAAGAAGAACGAAAAAGTTTCGTCACGCCAGGGATTCCGTTGGTCGTCGTCGTCGTCGTCGTCAGATACGAGAAAGAACGTTCGTTCCCTCTCCCTTTTTCGCCGGCCGGTTAACACCCCCTTTTTCCACCACCACCACTACCGCCGTTCTTTATTCAAAGTTGTAATAACGTTTGGCAGATGTTTCTGATATAGTGGCGAAGCTCAGGGCCGCTTTATTCCGCGAACTTTTATCGAGTCAATTTAAGTTGCTGCCAGAGAGCCGGGCTCGCGTCTGTTCGCCTTCCTTTTCTCCTTCTGTTGCCACCCCCTCGTCTCGCAACCCCCTTTTCTTCCACCTTCGTCACGTTTTTCTTCTCAAACTTTGTATTCATATTCATTGTGAAGCGTGGCTTCTTTTCGACGCGACTCCGGCCGGGCGGATAGATTTCCTTAATTTTATGCCGCCAGACAACTTTCGACTTTGTTGGACGGAATGCTGATGAAGCTTGGAAACGTCTTCGTTGATCGCTTTCGAAAATGAAGCCACCTTTCGGAACTGATAATCGCTCGAAACTGAATGCGTTGGAGCGACGTTAGGGGCTGTGAATTTCGGGGATGTGGAAGTTTAGATGATTGCACTTTGGGGTGTAGAATTTTGGAACACTTGAATTTGGGATCATAGGATTCAGGAGGATCAAATTTGATAGAACGTGGAATTTGGAGGCGTGAAATTTGGGGGCGTGGAATTCGAGGGCGTAGAATTTAGGGGCGTAGAATTTGGGAAAATCGAATTCGGGGGCGTAGAATTTTGCAACCTTGAAATTTGGGAAAGTTAAATTTGAGGACGTGGAGTTTGACAGCGTGGAGTTAGGGAGCGTGAAATTTGGGGGCATGGAATTAGAGAGCGACGAATTTGGGGACGTGGAATTTCATATCTTGCAATTCGGGATTGTAAAATTCGAACGGATCGAATTCAAGAGCGTTAAATTCAGGGACGTGAAATTTGGGGACGTGGAATTTGACAGCGCGGAATTAGGGAACGTGGAATTAGAGAACGTAGAATTAGGAAGCGTAGAATTCGGAATTATCGAGTTCGGAAACGTAGAATTTTGGAACCCTGGAATTCGGGATCGTAGAAATCAGGAGGACCAAATTTGGGAGCGTGGAATTCGGAGACGTGGAATTAGGGAGCGTGAAATTAATTAGCATGGAATTATGGAGTGTAGAACTTCAAATTATTTAATTCGGGAGCGTAGAATTTTTGAGCCCTAGAATACAGGATTGTAAAAATCAGAAGGACCAAATTTGAGAGCGTGGAATTCGGAAACGTGGAATTAGGGAGCGTGGAATTAATTAGCATGGAATTATGGAGTGTAGAACTTCAAATTATTTAATTCGGGAGCGTAGAATTTTTGAGCCCTAGAATTCGGGATCGTAGAAATCAGAAGGATCAAATTTGGGAGCGTGAAATTTGGAGACGTGGAATTAGGGAGCGTGGAATTATTCAGTGTGGAATTAGGGAGCGTGGAATTTGGGATTATCGAATTCGGGGAGCGTAGAATATTTGAGCCCTGGTATTCGGAATCGTAGAATTCGAGAGAATCAAATTCCGATGCGTGGAATTCGGAGACGTGGAACTAGGGAGTGTGGAATTAATCAGCGTGAAATTAGAGAGCATAGACCTTGGAATAATCGGATTTAAGAGTGTAGAATTTTGGAACCCTAGAATTCGTTATCATAGAATTCGAAAAGATCAAATTTGATGGCATTAAAATGAAGGGTGTGAAATTAGGAAACGTGGAGTTTGGAAGCGTGAAATTAAGTAACGCGGAATTTCCCACGTGCCAAATTCCTGTATAAAATTTGCAACAAAAATGTGAAATCGTCCAGAAAAAGTGAAATTATGCATAACTCGACAAGTAGAGAAAATAACAGAATATAATCCAGTTCATTGTACGAGCAATAATTTGATGTATGTGCGGGCTTCCTGTAACGAGCAGCATATAAATTCTAGCGCACGTATTATGCCAAACTGGTATCGATACGTAGGCCAGGCAAATATAGCCGGGTTTAAACCTGCCGATGTCACTTTATTTCAGCTCACGTGCGAATCCAATCCAGACATGATTTTCCATTTCAAATCGAGCGTATATCAAAAGTCGAGCCGTCTCATCCATATCAATTGAAAGAGGGTATCGCCTCGTGTACCGGAATTATAATAATTGTTTGAACCCACAGAAAAATTGCTAGGCTACCCTTGTAATTCGATACATTCTTTCTTGGCCAGAGAATTAAAAAATGGTAAATTAAATAAACTGTTTCTTGATTAAATTTTCTGGTGTATCGTCGATAAAAATGATAAACGATATCTGTTATTACTGATACGGTGCAGATAATTTTGGGCAATTGAGTGCGATTCGGTGTCATTTTTATCGTATGTAAATTTTTACTTTGGGGTCATTAAATATTTGAAATGTTTCCGATAATGGTTTGATAGGCTTATCATATGCCGGAGCGTTCGTTAAATTACTGTACCAATAAAGTCGAATTGATTCTGTTGGATAACAATTATTGGAAGCCTGGTTTTTCAGGAAAAGAAGAAATGTTTATCGAAATTTTGCAGACACGTCATCCGTCTTTACGAGATGATATTAGTACTTTATGGGTTCTTTACAAAAATGCAGTTAAGTAACAACAAAAATTTCAAAGATACAAAATAATTTTATCTAATCAATTTATAGGACTATCTAATTTAATTCATAAATAATTTATTTATTGACTGTTGTAAATGTAGATTGTCACTTTCTCAGCAACAGATATGAAGTTTCCTTCTTTATTGACTGTCGGTAACTTTTTCTAAAAATCTAATTTTTTCTGAAGTTAACAGAAATTTCTACTCTGTATTATTTCAGGTGCGGACAAAATATATAACAGATTGCTTTAATACTTTTTTCTGTGAGTCTCTGAAGGTAACTTACCTTATATCGCATCCTACTATATCAACCGAGCCTGGATTTGTACCACAGCGCTCCCTGTCCTCTAATTATTACCTCCAGTCGATAAAGAAGATTTCTACACATCCCACCACAGATAAAACAGCTCAAATATTCTAATATCTACAGATGGTTGCTCAGATTAAATCAATTTAAATTAATTACAAGAATCATTAATTTTCCGGTAGTTAACTTTTACATGCATTCATCTCCAAGTTCAACTGATTGTAACAGTTTAAATAAATTTGAATAGACACTTTCATAACAGAACGGTAAAATCCAGGCTATTTTCCATCATCGAAGGTTACTCTTTTTATACGAATCAAGCGAGTGGAAAACTGTGATACATTACTCGCATACCAAAGTTAAAGCAGTGCAGGTGTTCGCATTACTGAACTATAAACAGAAGCATTGCATCAAACATCTTTTTCCTTTTATTAAAATTGTAATCTGAATACTCGTCCTTCTGTAAGCTAATGCGATGATCTAAGGTCTGCATAACTTTCCTGTGACGTAATCTCTAATGACTCTTCTGCATTGCTTGAGCTAATGAACCTGTATTTTATCTGTTTATGCAAACCTACATAGTACTGGAAAAATTACTGAAATTGTCGTTATTTATTTCTTGCAAAATATATATTTTGTTCAATTAATATTGGAATAAAGCAGCTTCTTCAAAATTATATACAATTGTGACATCTGAAGATTTATTATAGCGTATATTGCTATAGTGTTTTACAATAAATAATTTGTTCATATAATTACAATTTTATATTTTACATTTTGCAATTTTACTTTTACAATTTTCCCAAGTTTATGAGAAACATTTTGTTCTCAAAATTGAGATCACAATCAGAGCCTTATAATCCTAGACTCTCATTATTATTTTACATTTACAATTTTCTTAAATTTATGAGACACATTTTGTTCTCAAAATTGAGACCACAAACAAAGCCTTATAATCACATACTCTCATTAACATTTTACATTTACAATTTTCTTAAATTTATGAGACATGTTTTATTCTCAAAATTGAGACTACAAACAGAACCTTATAATCACATACTGTCATTAACATTTTACATTTACAATTTTCTTAAATTTATGAGATACATTTTGTTCTCAAAATTGAGACCACAAACAGAGCTTTATAATCCCAGACTCTCATCATTTTACATTTACAATTTTCCCAAATTTATGAGACACATTTTGTTCTCAAAATTGAAACCACAAACAAAGCCTTATAATCACATACTCTCATCATTTTACATTTACAATTTTCCCAAATTTATGAGACATATTTTGTTCTCAAACTTGAGACCACAATCCAGAGTCCCATAATCCCATCATCCCTATACTCTCACCATCATTCTACATTTTCCTGAATTCACAAAATCCTCGTTGCTTAAGTGTCCTCAAGAAGTGTCCCAAAATATCTGAAGATCTTCCCACAATTCAAGCCCATCAGAGTATCAAACTCCACATCCCTCCCCATAGACACCTCAGCAGAATGTACAGTTGTCCCCAGTGTGAATTAATATTCACCTGACCCCCAAAATCCCACGATGAAATTAGCATTACCTACATCCCCGATTGGAGAAAACGAGGACCGCATACCGTCGACGAAACCCGGTTGTAGCAAAAGTGAAAATCGTGCAATAAGTCAGAGAGTGGGTCCGTCCGAGTCCCGTACGAGGACAATGGCCGGCGATTAGACACTTCGGTCCGTCGTATTTGGTATACACCTGTGCAGGTAGAAGCAAGCCTGGATCGACGGTTAACAAAAGGGGACTCCACGAGCCACCTGTAACTCGTGTGTAACGGTACAGGGGCTCGTACAGTGGCGCCGATCGTCGCCAGAACGAACTAGAGTCTTGTTAGGCGAGGTCGAACAGCCGCATACCACGATCCAGAATCGCGTCGAGAAGGCAGTCGGTGTGTCCGGTTGTCCGGGAACGCTTGAATCGAAAACGGCCGAGGTGACCTGGAACCGTGTCCAGGTACCCACAGGAGTTCAAGTGACACGCGTGCAAATACCCGGATTGTGATCTACCCGGTTCGGTTTTCCTCTCCGTTTCACTTCTCCTTTCGGTTCGTCCCTTTGTTCCTCGTGGATCTGCAGTGAAATCATCGGCTACGACGCTTCCCAAGTGAGTACAGCTACGGAGACATCGATGAGCGCATAAGACATGCGCTTCCCACGAACGATCTACGCTCGATCGATTTTAAAATGGCGCGGTGCACCATGACACACGAGATACGCCTGGTATTTCGCCGTCCGGATGCTGCGAGACGAGGAATGCCATTGAACCTAACTCCGGGAACCGCAGTCCTTTCGCTGCCATAAACGCGGAGTTTCGAGCCTTGTCACGTTGCTGACAACGGAATTCTTTAGCTTTAGCCTCCTTCAAAACTTTTCACTCGAGTATTCCATATTTTTTGTATGGCGATTAAAAGTGAGAATACTCCATGTACAGGGTGTTTCATTTTTGTCATAAACTTTGTAATGATTAATGGGAAAAATGTTTTAGGGTGGTGTTGTATGTATTTTGTTCAAATCTTTGTGATTACATTGTTCATATTTGTAAACTCACTTGACAAGATTTGTAAATTAACTGACTTGAATAATTTTAATTAAATTTTGTACGAATTTTATCTTCGACATTGAAGGAACATCTTCAATATCAGAGTCATTTATAATTATTTATCTTCAGAATATTTTGTCCATATTTTGTCTTCAACATTGAAGGAACATCTTCAACATCACACTCATTTATAATTATTCATCTCCAGAATATTTTGTCCATAGTTCAGTAGTGTTTTTCTAACTTTGAAAGAATTTATCAATCAACTTTGTTTATAGAATTCTTTACTTAAATTTTGTCAGGGAATATTCTGACATAATTTGACACTAAAAGTGAAACAACCTGTACGTTTGACAAAATTCCTCGTAACAATTATAAAATACAAAACAAGTTCATTAATTTTTTTTAAGCCTCCATTTTTGGATAAGTGAATCATAGATCTTTAAAGAATAATTCAATAATTTTACACTTCTTTCTTTTTTTATAATTAAGAATTGTGACCCAGCTTCAGACTGAAAAATTCTATGTGAATGTTCACAATATCATTCAGGTATTGTTGGGATTTATTTAAATTTTGAGTAAATTGAAAGATTCTGATCTTAAAATGCATGATTTCATAATAGTGTGTTCGTGACACAAGCACATTAAGTGAACTAGTCAGTCAAACTGCCGGTAATCAAGTACCTTTGCGAATTAATTTCAAGAAGATGAAAGCGAGCAACTTTTCCTTTTACACAATGTTTCTCACTATCACGCAGATGAATTTGTATCCGCAAATGGCGTACACTTTTAAAGAGGGTAAACGAAAGTTTTCCTGTAATTTCCTGGATTTTTAAATAATCTTCAAATGATCTTCAAATAGATCTTCAAAATTTAAATCTCCAAATGAAGATTAACTTCAAATAATCTTCAAATAATCTTCAAATAATCTTCAAATAATCTTCAAAAGGAGATCTTCAAAATTTAGATCTCCAAATGAAGATCATCTTCAAATGATCTTCAAATAATCTTCAAAAGTAGATCTTCAAAATTTAGATCTCCAAATGAAGATCATCTTCAAATGATCTTCAAATAATCTTCAAATAGATCTTCAAAATTTAGATCTCCAAATGAAGATCATCTTTAAATAATCTTCAAATAATCTTCAAAAGTAGATCTTCAAAATTTAGATCACCAAATGAAGATCATCTTCAAATGATCTCCAAATAATCTTCAAAAGTAGATGTTCAACTTTGCGAGGTCACAAAGAAAATGTGGGAATAAAAATGTCCTGCGAATTCCAGCGAAATACCGTTAAAGTGTAATTAAAAAGATGGTTGACTGTTAAAATTCATCGCGGTATTTTAATGAAATCCTTATTGTAACAGGAGCAAGATACAGTTCGATCTAGTTGCCCGATTAGGCGAAAGTATTCAAGGACAGTGAATCGTGACCTCTTGGCTCTGCTGCTAGATTTGCCCCGTTATTAACGATTCATTCGTGTCACGCAAATGTTCGAACGTGTTGGAAATCACCGGTGAAATAATTAATTAATCGCTGCGCGTTGCATCGTGGAATGTCTTCCTCTATCCACATTTTGTAATTCTAACTTTGCAACTTCGTTGTCAAACAATTACAAAACGGATAAATATCGGGGTTACGTAACATTTCGCAATACCTTTCGGCGAATGGTTCGGGCTGAATTTTTTTTTATAACAAAAGTTTGTAGAAAGTTAACTGATTTGTAGATTTATGAGATAATTTGTGAAACTATGTTTCAAAATATTATTGTTAATAATAGAAATTATGTACAATTTGATATTGGTGATTTAAATTATGAAGAGAATTGTTTTATTCTAATTTCAGAGCAAGTCACGTGACCTAACCTAAAATTTCTTGTTATTTTATAACAAAGTTAGTGGTAGAAAGTTAAATAATTTGTTAATTTATGAGATAATTTGTGAAGCTAGAAATGTTCAAAAATAATATTGTTAATAATAGAAATTATATACAATTTAATATTGGTGATTTAAATTATGAAAAGGCTTGTTTTATTTTAATTTAAGAGCAAGTCACGTGACCTAACCTAAAATTTCCTGTTATTTTACAACAAAAGTTAGTGGTAGAAAATTAACTAATTTGTAGATTTATGAAATAATTTGTAAAGCTAGAAATTTTCCAAAATAATATTGCTAATAATTGCGTGCAATTTAATATTATTAATTTAAATTATATTAACAAGTGTATTTGAATTGTTCACATGTTTTACCTTAATGTCAGGTCAAGTCACGTGACCTAACCTAAAATTTCCTGCTATTCAACTCGTACCAAATGAAGCTTATACAAATGAAACAAATAATCGAAAGAGTCGATCTGAGTTTACACCATGTTCTATGGTTAATGAATTGACATTAATTAATTTGCTCTCCACGCTCAGGAGCTTCAAATCGTCAATAAAAGAGCAGCCTTTAGGAAGCACTTTCACCGTGAATTTTAACTCGTTTCGTATCACTCGCAATCGAACTTTCAACGGCATAACAACCTCTTCCAATTACAAGCTAGCTAATAAATATTTGCACAATCTCGACATTATTTGCGAAATAATCCCGCGGCGATAGAAATCGTATTCCAATTAATTGGTTAAGCAGGGGCAAACAGAACTGTTCTCGTTCCATCACCGATGCTATTGTAACTGTTCGATCAATTAAAAACTAAATTCGCTAGATTAATTATACAAACATTTAGATTTGAATTTCAAATTGTTTCATGCATTTTTGTTTGAATTTTAGTTTGAATTTTCTAAATGAAGACATTAGGTACATTTGACTAAATGTTAATTTGTGTGACCATCAAAAATAAATTATAATAAAGTAAATAAAGTAAAAATTTATTGAAGAAATATAAAACTTGATGTTATAGAAGGTTCAACTAAAGATACACGTTACATAATATTTAATCTAAACTTGTATGGTGGTTGCAACCCTTAAAATTGAATATCTTCAGTAACAATATTATGTACTCATGCTAAACATCAATGCTTATCTTCTTACGTTGAAAATCAATTTTTCTGATAAAAATTTCAGGTAAAATACTGGATGAAGTAATAAAAGACTCAATCACTAACACACATTAAATAAAATTTATTCTACAATTATATGGTGATTGCAACATTTAAAATTGAATATCTTCAGTAACAATATTATGTACTCATGCTGAACATCAATGCTTATCTTCTTACGTTGAAAATCAATTTTTCAGATAAAGAAACTTGATGTAATAAAAGATTCAATTAACTCAATACACGTTAAATATGGAGCATTAGAGTTTGGGGATTTGAGGATTTCTTGAGGTGGTTATTTTTGGAAATTAAGGGATTTGGGAGGTGGGGAATTATGGAGTGGAAGTTAGGGGATTTGGGAAGTTTTTGAAGAGTTGGCGGATTGGAGAAATTTGGAAATTTGGAAGTTTGGAATTTTGGAAAATTGGGAATTTGGAAGTTTGGAATTTTGGGAAATTGGGGATTTAGAAGGTGGGGAATTTTGGGAAATTATGGAATTTGGAAGTTTGGAATTTTGGGAAATTATGGAATTTGGAAGTTTGGAATTTTGGGAAATTATGGAATTTGGAAGTTTGGAATTTTGGGAAATTATGGAATCTGGACCTTGGTGAATTTGGGAAATTTTTGAAGAGTTGGAAAAGTGGAGAAATTTGGAAGTTTGGAATTTTGGGAAATTAGGGAATTTGGAAGTTTGGAATTTTGGGAAATTATGGAATTTGGAAGTTTGGAATTTTGGGAAATTATGGAATTTGGAAGTTTGGAATTTTGGGAAATTATGGAATTTGGAAGTTTGGAATTTTGGGAAATTAGGGAATTTGGAAGTTTGGAATTTTTGGAAATTAGGGAATTTGGAAGTTAGGAATTTTAGGAAATTTGGGAATTTAGAAGTTTGGAATTTTGGAATTTTGGGAAATTAGGGAATTTGGAAGTTTAGAATTTTGGGAAATTAGGGAATTTGGAAGTTTGGAATTTTGGGAAATTATGGAATTTGGAAGTTTGGAATTTTGGGAAATTAGGGAATTTGGATGTTTGGAATTTTGGGAAATTAAGGAATTTGGAAGTTTGGAATTTTGGGAAATTAGGGAATTTGGAAGTTTGGAATTTTGGGAAATTGAGGATTTAGAAGGTGAGGAATTATATGGTGGATCTTAGGAAATTTAGAAAATTTTTGAAGAGTTGGGTAATTGAGGAGATTTGCAAATTTGGAAGTTCGGAATTTTGGAACATTGAAGATTTAGAAGGTGGGGAATTATGTGTGGACCTTGGTGAATTTGAGAAATTTTTGAAGAGTTGTAAGATTGAAGAAATTGATATTTCAAGAATGTAGAACTCATAAATCCAATAACTTTCAGTAACCTATAGTTCTAGAAATATAAAACATCCCAGAAAATATTATTCCATGTCAAAGTGGTATCAGAAACAGTGTTTACATGGAACGGTAGACCCAGGAAAATAGTACAAAATTACAGCGACAAATCGCTGCAGCTACGACACGGTGAAATAAGTTTTCAGGGCAGCGAATAAATTG